AGTCTACCACCATCTTCAAAGTACCGCTGAAGGAAGAACAATTAGGAATTTTTATATCGTCGGTAAAATCACCTCGGTGCTAACAATTCACGGGTTGAACGATATCCTACGGATAGCTCCTTCTGAGTCACTTTTAATGGGAGTTTAATCATTGCTTCACTGGTAAATGTCTGAAATAGCCCTGCAAAAATAAACAAATGTTTATTGTGAAAGTTATCTTTTTATGTGGCTCAGCTCCTTTAAAGACCACAGTTTCTAGCTAGCCTAAATAATGGCGGTTCCCAGACCTGGCTGTTGACAGTCCATTTCCAGGCTTGGGATGCCTTGTCTTCCATTCCCATGTCCAAGCTTGCAGCTATGAGTTGGGAACCCTTGCTGTGTTGTGTCCAGCCATAAACCCCTCCCAAATATATTCCTTGTCAGCCTTCTCCTAGGACTTTCAAGGGCACCTCAACACTGACTGGAGATACTGTTTTCTCCCACCGCTTCTTGATCCTGCTTTCCTTTTTGCTGTCAAAGCAGAGGCATTTGACTCGCCTTCCTTTCCTTCTGGAAAAAAAACCACTCCAAACAAAAAATCCCACCCCACCTTTTCTCTCACCAGTGCTGAAATTCCTTAAGCAATCGCTGTTATTAAAAACCCAGCTACTTGGCTGAGCCCGCCAGCCCATCCTGGTGATAAATGGCTCTCAAGATGCATGACTAGCACTAAACAAACCGGTCTAAGTCTGTCTAGACCGTCACCACGTTCCTGGGTGTGTGGCTGCCCTTAAATCTAAATTCCTCAACACAGCGAATCTGTGTTGCAACATCAAATGGATTTATTTGACCCCCGAAAGACAAAGCTATGTTCTTTGATGAAGGTAAGGCATGAACAACTTGCAGAGACCAGAATACCATAACCAATCTATTTCCCCACTCAGGTATGGTACCACGCTGAAAACAGTAACAACGTGCTAGCCTAACGGTACTGAGGAAACTCCCAGTGGAGTGGGAACATTGCTTCTGAGTTACAAATGCCCACTTTTTGTGCAGGAACACTGTTTTCAGATGAGCTACAAATGGCTGTTTTTTGAGCAAGAACATTGCTTTCAGTTGAGTTACAAGTAGTCATTTTTTGTCTCAGGAAAGAGAAATATTGGCCATTTTCATAACTCTTTTAAGTTGCTGAATTGGTCTGCACTGCAGATACCTAACCAGCCAATTGGTTTTTTCTCCTCTTAACTGTCCTTCTTTAGTAGTAATTTATCTTTTAAATCGCCAGGAGAGTGCAAGGAATTCAGCTCAGCACTGAAGCCCTCCATATCGTGGATCTTGCTCTTTTCCAGTACCGTAACCTCAGGCTTTTGGTCAGTTATGCCATCTGAAGCATGGCATGTGCAGGCAGCCCTCCTGCCCATCTCTGGCTCTTCACATCAGTATTTCAGCAGTTGTCTTCTGCTGTTGTCTCTGAATCCCTGAACGCTCGGCTGGGATGTCCCCGAGTTATGGCACGCACTGCTCCAGTATATGCTTTGATTTCTATTAACAGGCTAAGAGCAGAAGTCCTTTCCTGCATCCAGCTTTGTGGGCTAGAGGCTCCAGCGTTTCTCCACCGTGCACCAGCAGGCTGGGACAAGCCCTTTACCACCTTGCTGGCAGAGGGAATTGTGCGTATGCTTTGGGTTGAGCTGGCTGGGTCAGCGTGTTAGCTCACCCATGCCTGCCCGGAGTCTGTGCAAGCTCAGCATGTCTGCACTGCTCCCGGGATCCTTCCCAGTGGCAGAGCAGCCTGGGCCAAGGCAGTGTGGGGTTAAATGGGCATTTTGGAGGACAGGTGTAGGAGGCAGTGGACAACTGTTCAGTCAGCAAAGTTGCTTGCAAGGGAAGGTGTCCTGGTTTCGGCAGGGATAGAGTTAATTTCCTTTCTAGTAGCTGGTACAGTGTTTTGGATTTAGGATGAGAACAATGTTGATAACACACCGATGTTTTAGTTGTTGCTAAGTAGTGCTTACACTAGTCAAGGACTTTTTAGTTTCCCATGCTCTACCGACTGAGAAGGCTGGAGGTGCACAAGAAGCTGGGAGGGGGCACAGCCAGGACAGCTGACCCAAACTGGCCAAAGGGACATTCCATACCATGTGACGTCATGCTCAGTACATAAACTGGGGAAAGCTGGCCGGGGGGGCCGCTGCTCGGGGACTGGCTGGGCATCGGTCGGCGGGTGGTGAGCAATTGTACTGTGCATCACTTGCTTTGTGTATTATTATTATTAT